ACCCTAAGCTCTAAACCCCAAACCTGAAAGAGTTTAGGGTTTAGGGTTGAGGGCTTCAGGGGCCCTGCTTGCAAGATCTGATCTCAACACCGACCATCGATGATGGAGCGATCTCGGGCTTCACTGTAGATGGCCTGAAACCCGAGAAACATCCTCCAAGTCCGTTTGCGGCTGAGGGTGAAAGCCCAAACATGTGTAGCACCATCTGGTCGATACAGCTCCTGGCAGCAGACATGACGAAGAAGCATCTCTGGTCTCCTGAACAGCAGGCTTGCTGACTGCTGCAAATCATGTAGGTTGCAGCAGTGACTGTCAAAGTGCAGACTAGAGCAAGAGGAGTGCGAGCAGCGGAGCACCGTGGACGCTTTATCATTCGAGATTACGACAAGGGCAAGCATGCTTCGGTGGGCCGGCTTTTGTAGTCTTCGATCTTCTGAAGTGCGGCTGGCTTAGGGTTAGGGGCTAGGGTGTAGAGATTAGGGCTCTTTTGGGTTTGGACTTGGGCCTCAGGGTGTAGGGTTTAGAGATTAGGGCTCTCTTGGGTTTGGACTTGAGGCTCAAGGTGTAGGGTGTAGAGATTAGGGCTCTTTGGGGTTTGGACTTGGGGCTTAGTGTTGAGGGTGTAGGGTTAAGGGCTCTTTTGGGTTCGGACTTTGGGCTTAGTGTTGAGGGTGTAGAGTATAGGGCTCTTTTGGGTTTGGACTTTGGGCTTAGTGTTTAGGGTTTAGAGTTTAGGGCTCTTTTGGGTTTAGGGCTCTTTTGAAGTTGGGTTTAGGGCTTCGGGTTTAGGGTTTTTCGTTTTGGGTTTAGGGTGTAGGGATCTTTTGGGAAGCAACATATCAGAAGGTTTTTTTCTGTTCGGTTTTAGAGTCCTGCGCTCTAAACCCTAAACCCTAAACCGCCAGCCGGGAAACGTCCAGCGCGTGCGATATGCATCCGACACCTTGGGGCGATGAGGAGGGGGTCGGGGGTTCTAAGGATACTCGGAGCTTGGGGTGTTTGGCGAAGGGTTTAGGATCTAAGGGTTTAAATTAGGGTCTAGGATAATCAGCACCCCGTTCCTTTCGATCCTTCTTTTGACGAGGCTGCTGTAAACGTTCGAGGATTGAGGCTTAAGGGTTTCAGCTGGGGCCTGAGAACGTAAAACAGGGCTTGTCGGGAAGCCCTAAACCCCAAACCCCAAGACCCTAATCCCTAAACCCGAATCCCTAAACCCTAAGCCCAAAGCTCTAAACCCCAAAACCCGAATCCCTAAACCGTAGACCCCACAGAATCCGACCCCCAGATTCAGGTGAAGTGCTGGGTTCTGGGATTCGGGTTTAGGGTCTAGGGTTTAGGATTTAGGCTTTAGGGTTTAGGGTCTAGAATTAGGGGTTTAAGGTTTAGGGTTTAGGGTTTAGGGCTTAGGGTTTAGGGTTTAGGGTTTAGGATTGGTGGTTTAGGGTTTAGGATTTGGGGTTTAAGGTTCAGGGTTTAGGGCTTAGGTTTTAGGGTTTAGGGTTTTGAAATTTCGAGCTCGGATGTAGGGCTTGGGGCGCAGAGTCTCTAGAGTTTTGGGCTTAGGGTTTCAGGGTCTAGGGCCTTAGGTTTAGTGCTTTAGGATTGGTGGTTTAGAGTTTTGGGTTTTGGGCTTAGGGTTTAGGGTTTGGGGCTTCATAAGCTCGAAAAAGCACCTGCAAAAGATCCCATACAGCCACGCTAACCCTAGACCCAAAAACCCTGACCCCAATCCCTAATTCCTAAACCCGAATCCCTAAACCCAAAGACCCTAAGCCCCTAAACCCTGAACCCAAAAACCCTAAACCCCTAAACCCCTAAACCCTAAACCCTTAAACCCTAAACCCTAAAACCCTAAAACGCCTAAAATCCTAAACCTGAATCCCTAAGCCCCTAATCCCTAAACCCTAAACCCCTAAAGCCCTAAACCGTAAACCGTCCCTGGACTACAACTCACATCTTCGCGACCAGCTGCATTGTTGCGCGGATCGTAGCCTCAGCCAAAGGACGCATGGTTACAAAGTTTGAGGCTTAAGCCTCAAGGTCTCAGGGTTTAGGCATTTAAGGTTTGAGGGTTTAGGGGTTTAGGGGTTTAGGGTTTAGGGTTTGCAGGCTTCAGGCTTCGGATTTAAAGCTCCCCAACTTAGGGTTTAGGGTTTAGGGGTTTGGCGTTTAGGGTTTACCGTTTCACGGTTCAGGGAACTCGCCCAGAAACCCCCAATATACTACTACTTCACGACGGAGTTTGCTACGCAGCTATGCGAAGGAGATTCTTCTTATTGCGCACGGGTGGTGGGCTTTCTGGGCTAGCAAATTGGCAATGGGGTCCGTGATTCACGTTGTTTTTGCCCCACTGCCTCCAAGATCCAAAGCTTTGCAAAACCGGCCTACACTGCCTACCGCTGCACAAGCCCGAAACCGTAAACACCACACGCTTCAACCTCGTGTGCGGACTCTTGAAAATCCGTCGATTGTAAAG